GTCCTTTTATGGAACCTGGGAAAAAATCTACATCATTCCAGGCATTTTTAAAGGAATCATGTACAGTTCAATTTTGGGATCATTTGCGATCCGGATTAATTTTTTACAAAAACTTTTTTAAAACTTTTTCTTAAATAATAAACAGCACTGCATGAAATGAGATGCTAAAAACTTGCCTCATTCTCCTACGCGTCCTATTTGACAACAGCAAGAGTTTATAAAAGTAGGCAAATAAGCTTGCTCAGTGAAGTGAAATGAGGCAAAAGTATGACAAAAGTGTTCTACATGCGTGACATTTTGAAGACGTTACATATAAGAGTACGCGTTGTGTATGGTGGTCAAAGATTAAGAACTAAATCTACGAGCTGAGTTCTTGTAAGTTTTGCACACGAATTTCGGTTCTTGCGTCCATGCTATTTTGATGTAGAAGGCAGAAATAGCAGCTCTAATTTCACTTTAATGGCGTCTTTCAATCGTAGTGTGTCACGATGACAAATGGTGGATGATGGCAAGTTCACTAGATTAATTTACTTTTCTGATACTTTGTTTTCTTTAACTCTAGATTGCACTGAATTATAACTTATTCGGACAACAATCAGGCCAAAACGATGTCATATTTCCTCCCAGGGTTAAAGTTAAAATGAATGTTTTCATGAAAAATTCATCTCTTGTGTTATTCCTCTATTAAGCTACCTTTTTCTACATTTACTTGTGTCCTCAGGCATCGACGAGTGCAGCACTGGAATCTATGTGTGTGACATAAATGCGAACTGTACTAACACTGACGACTCTTATATCTGCGCCTGTAAGGAAGGATACACCGGAGACGGGCATTCATGCCAAGGTATAATCATTGCATTTGACCTAGCAAATAGCGGAATAAAGTTTCCCACAAATAAAAAAAACTCTTTCCATTAAAACTTAGAAATCTGATGTTTTTCTCTCTGTCTAGAAACGTTTTGACAATTCGTTTTTGTTCACAGATGTCAATGAGTGTAGCGATGGCAACCATGTTTGCGATGTTAATTCGAATTGTAACAACACAAATGGTTCTCATATTTGTGCCTGCAAAGAAGGATACACTGGAGATGGACAGTCATGTCAAGGTGAATACGAGTAGTCCACACTGCTAAAAACAAACAGCTTTGCTCCTAAGCTATTGCCCATGAAAATTAGCCCACATTTTTGAGGCCTGTTTTGACGCACCACTATCGTATTTCTATTACATTACCTTTATACATCACTTACACTGCTAGATATCGACGAATGCTGCAAAGGAAGCCATGATTGTGACATAAATGCGCACTGCACCAACACTGATGGCTCCCATAGCTGCACCTGTAAGGAAGGATACACTGGAAAAGGAGAATCATGCCGGGGTAAAATTAGATTAGACTTTGAAAAAAAGCAGAATAACTGTTCATCACAAATAATTGCCTTGTCATCCAACAAACTGGCTGAAGATTTTTTTCTCTATTCAATTACCCATTGCAAATCTTTTTTGTTCACAGATGTTAATGAATGCAACGATGATGTTTGTGATGCTAATACTAACTGTACCAACACTGTTAAGAATATATGAAAGTCATATATTTGAAACTGCAGATAAAGACGTGAATGAAAGTGATCCTTGCAGTAATGTGCACTACTTAGGCAGTAGTGGAAATAAGGCCCGAAAAAAAAAATTCAGGCCTGTACGGGATTTGAACCCATGACCTCTGCGATACCGGTGCAGCGCTCTACCATCTGAGCTAACATACCAACTGGAAGCCTGTCATGATGTTGGTTCTAAATAAACCCGTGAAGTGATGAATAAACGGTTAAGAATATATGAAAGTCATATATTTGAACTGCGGATAAAGACGTGGATGAAAGTGATCCTCGCAGTAATGTGCACTACTTAGGCAGTAGTGGAAATAAGGCCTGAAAAAAATTCAGGCCTGTACGGGATTTGAACCCATGACCTCTGCGATACCGGTGCAGCGCTCTACCAACTGAGCTAACAAGCCAACTGGGAGCGGGTCATGATGTTGGTTCTAATGTCAAGGGTTCAAATTCCGTATAGGCCTGAATTTCTTTCAGGCCTTATTTCCACTACTGCCTAAGTAGTGCACATTACTGCGAGGATCACTTTCATTCATGTACCAACACTAATGGTTCACATAATTGCATCTGTTTGGAAAGATACATTAGAGATGGACAGTCTTGCAGATGTAGATTAGAACAGTGATACCTTATGTCGAGCAAAGCACCTTTCCATAACCAGAATTGTCTTCGTAACTGGGCTAACGATCAAGAGGCAACGCAATGGTTTTCACACCCCGACCTCGTGTTTCTATTAAGTTACGGATATCATAATATACATAGATACACAATTTTCGCTGGTTTAAAATATAATACGTGCGGATATTTTACGAGTGGCTAAAAGTGTTTCCGAGCCCAGAAGGAACGAGGATAAAAGAAGGCAATGAGTATGAGATATATCATATCACCATTACCTGGAATATTTTTCTCGAATATGCGGCGACGCTCGGATAACCACCCCCCCCCCCACCCCCCAAGCCTTCTCCTCCCTCAGTTTTTTAAATAGTATAGATACAAGGAAAATCTGTTTCTACTGCCACATTTTTTTACAGCAGAATAATTTTTTTTCCATACCAAATTTTTCTATGTTCATAAGCTTGCAGAGTTCCTTTATGTATTATCTATTATTTTGATTTTATGTCCTATTCCCGAGGTAACTTAAGAAGCGCCCCTCTCGACTAATCGATGACGCACACCCCTAGAAATAAGTGCCCCCCCTCTCCCCCCGTCAGTTTTAGCCGAAATTTTCAGTAAGCGCTTAAGCGCTCATTGAAAATGTCTAATATTTCAATTATTAAAGTAAACACAATATCGCTTGAGGAACTAAACATGTATCTTGCGGAGTTTATTCGCTCTTTTCGACTTAGAGACAGAGAATATTATGAACCTTCAGGCTTAATATGCCCTCTTTCAAGTTCTGAGAGGTATTTTGATATTTTTTGCTCGCTGTCAGTATGTTGCATTATTTCTATCGAGAAGGGAAATTTATATGACTTTTATCTTTCATGATCGATTTATAAACCATTGTCTGTTTGACAATAAAATGCTATAAAGGACGAATTTACTCTCCTAATGTAATGTATACTATATAATAAACCTAATACATCACGTATAGTCAGTCCGTACGGTATATAAACAATCAATGCTTTATATCAAGAATCTTAGTCGTTTGCTGCGTTCACTCCTTCGACTTCCGATACTACGATCTCGTGCGTAAATACCAAGACAGACTTTGCACGAATTATTCTATATCTATATCATTTGAACTACCAGATATCGATGAGTGCCTCAATAGAAGCCATGCTTGTGACGTGACTTCGAATTGTACCAACACTGACGGCTCCCACATCTGCACCTGTAAGGAAGGATACACTGGGGACTCACACTCATGCCAAGGTATAATCATCACATTAGACTTAGCAAATAGCAGAATGAAGTTTTCCACAAATAAAAACAAAACTCTTTCTTTAAAAACTCAGAAATTTGATGTTTGTCTCTGTCAAGTAACGTTTTGGCAATTCATTTTTGTTCTCAGATGTTAATGAGTGTAGCGATGGCAACCATGTTTGCCATGTTAATTCGAACTGTAACAACACAGATGGTTCTCACATTTGTACTTGCAAGGAAGGATACACTGGAGATGGACAGTCATGTCAAGGTGAATAAGAGTTGCCTACACTAATTAAAACAAGCAGCTTTGCACATAAACTATCGCCCATGGAAATTAGCCACATTTTAGAGGCCTGTTTTCACGCAACACTGTCATATTGTTATTGCGTTACCTCTTATACATCACTTATGCTTCTAGATATCGATGAATGCAGCAATGGAAGCCATGATTGTGACGTAAATGCGAATTGTACCAACACTAATGGCTCCCATAGCTGCACCTGTAAGGAAGGATACACTGGAAAAGGAGAGTCATGCCAAGGTAAAATTAAATTAGACTTAGAAAAAAGCAGAATAACCATTCATCACAAGTAATTGCCTTGTTATCCAACAAACTGGCCAACATATTTTTTTTCTATTCAGTTGCCCTTTGCAAATCTATTGTAATCATAGGTATTGATGAATGCAACGATGATAGTTAAGTTTTTTATGCGAATGCAAACTGTACCAACACTAATGGTTCTCATAATTACATCTGTAAGGAAGGATACATTGGAGATAGACAGTCTTGCCAATGTAGATTAGAACTGCTATACTTCATGTCGAGCAAAGCAGCTTTCCATGATGAATAATGTCTTCGTAACTGGGCTCATGATCAAGAGGCAGCTTAAAGATTTTCACGCCCCGACCTGGTATTTCTATTAAGTTACGGGTTTCACCATATGTATATCATATCATATCATATGTATACATACACATTTTTAGTTGGTTTAAAATATAATACGCGCGAATATTTTACGAGTTGCTTAGTATTTTTCCCAGCCCAGGAGGATCGAAGATAAATGAGAACGGTGAACAATGTCTCTTCTCCTTTTATATTATAAAACATCGAATGAGGGTTCATCATTTCACTATTACCTAGAATATTTTTCTCGAATATGCGGCCACGCTCGGATAACTACCCCTACCCCCCTCCACCCCTCTCCTCCCTCACTCTTTAAATAGTATAGATACAAGGAAAATCTGTTTTTACTACCACACTTTTTTTTATAACTTTTCAACAACAGCGCAATCAGTACAGCAAAACAATTTTGTTTTCCATTCCAGATTTTTCTATGTTCATATGCTTGCAGAGTTCCTTTATGTATTATCTATTCCTTTGATTTTTGTCCTATTGCTGAGATAACTGAAGAAGCGCCCCTCTCGACTAATCGACAAAGCGCCCACCCTACAAATAAGTGCCCCCTCCCCCTCTCCCTCAAAGTTTTTGTCGAAACTTTCAATAAGCGCCCAAGCACATATTGAAAATGTCTATCATTTCAATTATTGAAGTACACACAATATCGGCTGAGGAACTAAACGTGTATCTTGCGGAGTTTATTCACTGTTTTCAACTTAAAGACAGAGACGATTATGAACACTCAGGCTTAACATGCCTGGCTTCAAGTATCGAGAGGTATTTAGATATTTTTTGCCAGCTGATAGTATGTTGCATTATTTCTATCGAGAAGGGACGTTTGAATGGTTTAAATCTTTCATGATCGATTTATAAACCATTGTCTGTTTGACAGTTAAATGTTATAAAGGAGGAATTTACTCTCCTTACGTACATGTAAACTTTATAATAAACCTCATACATCACGTAAAGACTGTCCTTACGGTACATAAACAATCGTTGCTGTATATAAAAAAATCTTACTCGTTTCTTGCGCTCACTCCCTCGATTTCCGATACCACGAGTTCGTGCGTAAATACCATAAAGACAGATTTTCTATGAAGTATTACATGTCTGTATTATTTGTAATACTAGATATTGATGAGTGCCTCAATAGAAGCCATGCTTGTGACGTGACTGCGAATTGTACCAACACTAATTAAAACAAGCAACTTTGCACATAAACTATCGCCCATGGGAATTAGCACACACTTTAGAGGCCTGTTTTCACGCACCACTGTCATATTGCTATGGCGTTACCTCTTATATATCACTTATGCTTCTAGATATCGATGAATGCAGCAATGGAAGCCATGGTTGTGACGTGAATGCGAATTGTACCAACACTAATGGCTCCCATAGCTGTACCTGTAAGGAAGGATACACTGGAAAAGGAGAGTCATGCCAAGGTAAAATTAAATTAGACTTAGAAAAAAGTAGAATAACCTTTCATCAGAAATAATTGCCTTGTTATCCGACAAACTGGCTAAGATTCTATTCAGTTACCCTTTGCAAATCTATTATGTTCACAGATATTGATGAATGCAACGATAATAGTCATGTTTGTGATGCTAATGTTAACTGTACCAACACAAATGGTTCATATAATTGCATCTGTAAGAAAGGATACATTATAAATGGACAGTCTTGCCAACGTAGATTAGAAAAGCGATACTTCATGTCGAGCAAAGTAGCTTTTCATAATAAGTATTGTCTTCGTAACTGAGGTTATGATTAGAAGCAACTAAATGATTTTCACGCCCCGACCTCGTATTTCTATTAAGTTACGGGTTTCATTATATGCATGCATTCACATTTTACCAAGATTTAAAATATAATACGCGCAGATATTTTACGAGTTGCCTGGTATTTTTCCGAGCGCGAAAGTAACAAGGATAATTAAGAGCAATGAGCAAGATTTCCTCTCGTATTATATGATAAACCATCGAATGTGTGATTTATTATTAGTTCCTCACGTTTTTAAATAGTATAGATAGAAGGAAAAATCTCTTTGTACAGCCACACTTTTTTTATAACTTTTCAACCTTCAACAACAGCGCAATCAGTACAGCAGAATAATTTTACTTTCAATTTCAGATTTTTTTAAATCTTCATGTGCTTTCAGAGTTCCTCTACGTATTATCTTTTATTTTTATTTTATTTTTATTTCATTTCTCTTTTATTTTGATTTTGATGTCCTATTGCTGAGATAACTTAAGGCGGGGTTCCACCTGAAAAAGTGACATTTTTGCATCACTTGTGACAGCTATGGTTTTCTTCAAAATCATAGCACACTATTTAACAAATAGAGAAGCCTCTGCTGTGCTCTGTTCTGTTATAAAGCACGCAGGAAGCGGCTAGAGCACGAAAGAAGTGTAGGGAGAAACACGAGACGTAGTCGAGTGTTTCTTCCCACTTCTTGAGTGCTCTAGCCGCTTTCTAAGTGCTTTATAACAGAACAGAACACAGTCAAGGCTTCTCTATTTGTTTTATAATAAAGAATCCGTTAAATTCCCCATGTATTACTTTCAATTTTCAAAACAAACTTTATTTCCAAAGCGAAGAACAGTGTCGTCAGCATGCTCTATACTGTCATAGAGCACGCTACAATAAGCCAATCAGAATCCCTGTTAGAATGGTTCAAATAATCTGATTGGCTGTACAAGACAAAAGCTGTCAAAAGTGTCAAACCATCAAAGTTAAAAAACCATCAAAGTTCACACTCTGCGATAGTTTACTAAGGTTCCATCAGATTCCGACGAACAATCTTGTTTGCGATCTGCACTGACTTTGATTTTCAAGCTGCTTGCTCCAATGATATTCGAACGTTGTGGATCTTTAGCAGATGCCGAGCTTGTCAGAGCTTGGTCAAACCAAGAACTTTTGTCACTTTCTTTTCCTGGAGGAATGGTTCTCTTACTTTCTTCTTCGGGCCCTTGTTTTTGTTTATCTTAGCTCAACTAAAATAATTCGGCAGGTCGAATTTAACGCTTTTGCCTGAAGTTTTTAATTCAGAATCGTGAAGTGAAATGTTCAGTGAACTTCAGCCGTATTATGGCTCATAAAAACACGCGGGTTTTTTCACATGACAAGGTAGAAAACAAACTGTTCAAGGCGAGTGTTTTTTAAATGAACGACAGCCGAATTCACCGGAACAAGAAGATCGCTCGGGATGACAGCGCCGCAAAACTCGGCTGCAGTGACTGAAGTGACTTTCCACTCAACACATTGGAAAGGATATCAGAGCGAGCTCTTATTTTTTCACTCAAAGGGCGGCCGATCTAGTTTCTGAGGCTTGCTTTACTGTGATGACCGGAGATCGCCATGATAAGTGAGCCGCGATGGACTTCAGCATGATCATATTTGCTCAGACACCGTCATGATTAGTATGAATTTTAACAATTATGCCAGTTTGGTTATATTTTTCATCATTTCTGTTTTGTTTTGTTTTTGAACTCTGAACTTTATATACTATACGAGTGTTGGCTGTGTTTGATTTTCATTACCGTACGAAAGCTTGCAATCTAACTGAGCGTGAAAATCTTTAAAACTCGGAATGTCTATTTTGTTTTTCCTTTGAGGATTTTCGTATCTGTCTACGTTTTAATAACGTAAATAACGGCGCCTGATATGTTTACAAACCTTTGTTTGGTTCTTCTGTTACTACTTGCCGGCTCGCTTGTTCCGAAATTTCACTTTCAATTATCGGAAAAAAGCTAAAAAGAAGTCCCGGAAGAGGTCGAACATGGTAAAATTTGGCAGATCGCGTGACAGCTTTAGCTCAGTTCTATGCTCTATACTCTCCTAGAGCACGCTCTTTCAACCAATGACAGCGTGCGTTATATCCGAACTTTATTATAAACATCATTAGAAAGCTATCGGCCTGAAGATTATGAAAATGTGTATTTGAATGCGGTATTTTTTTTGTAACCTGATACCAAGCCCCTTAAATAGCACATGCTGTGGCTGACCTGGACCTACTTGAGAAAGGATTTTTACATATAGTTTCACATGAAACATGTATTTTTACTATTTTTCTCAAGTAAACAGATTGCTTACTGGGATGAATGAAGGACTTTGCAAAATTTCAAAATGTGAAGCCTCAACACCCATCTAAAGTTGCGCAATCAAAATTAGGAAGCATTTCTTAAAATAACCTTTTTTCTAAACACTTATGACAAATTCTTTTATTCACCACAACTAACTCAGTGAGACCCAGCTAACCTGAAAATTTCAGGTCAATAGCTCAAATCCCTTTTGAGTTATCTTTTCTCAAAGGCAAAAATGCCGCATTTTGAGAAACGCAGCCTTAAACTTCAGAAAAGGAATAATTTGGGCGGGACTGCACAGGTACTTGATGCGTTTCTTTTGTAACCATTCCCAACAGAAGGAAAAACACTATCATATTTTACCAACACAATCAATCCTTATATAAAAAAGAGATGAATGTAAGCCTAAAGAAAATGGTGATAATGACACATTTGTATTCAATAAACATTCAAAAATCTCAACTGGCAAAGGGAGACTTGATGGAAGGGCTTACAGGACAGAACAACGTAGTTGAAATTGGGGGAACCGAGAAAAAGTCTGGTGAGAGGTAACATGAAGGGCCTGTCTCTAGAACCACAAGACAGAAAGACTAAGGTTCCCAAGCTTATGCGCGGCAAATTTTTCTCAATTAATTGCTTATGATTTTACAGATATTGACGAGTGTAAAGGAAGTCACTCTTGTCACGTGAATGCTACATGCACGAACACCCTTGGATCACATGTATGTCAATGTCACGCTGGATATACTGGAAATGGACAAAACTGCACAGGTGAATTTAATCTCTTCGCTACAATATGTAGAACAGTCCTGCATGACACCTTCGACTACAGTGCTGCACCATTCAGCCGCGTTGCAAGATAATTAGGCCTTTACTGAGAATATAAGGTGACTTTTTAAAAAGAATGATATAATAGGTTTCACAATCCGCGAAAAAAAGTCGTAGTCGTATATCTCACTCGTGTAACCACCAACGTTGTATAATTTTTCTTTTCTTCCCCATTTTTTTAGATATTGATGAATGCCAAAAAAATACTCACGATTGTCACCTGAACGCTACTTGTCAAAACACAAATGGATCCTTTGTGTGCACCTGTTTATTTGGATTTAACGGAGATGGACGGAACTGCACAGGTAAAGGCCTTTAGATTGTAATTGCCTCGTTATGACCTTACTTGTTTGTTTGTGTTTGTATTTTTAATTGTTTGTTTAATTTGTACGTTCCTTCATTGTTTGTTTGTTTGTTTTGATAAAGTAGTTACCCTTGCCTTAATATTTTTGACCAATGGTAGAAAATGAAAATCTTTAATCCCAATTGAAAGCAAGAGGATGAAATGCTCTCAATGTTCAAAATAAGGAGGTTTATACATGTATCATGCTCCAAGAATCGTGATTGAAAGCCTGTGATTTCTCAGATATTGACGAATGGGCAAGAAAATATTTCTTGTCATGTGAATGCTAACTGTACCAACACAATTGGATCACATGTATGTACATGCCACACTGGATACACTGGAGATGGACAAACTTGCTCAAGTGATTTTGATAACTTCCCTTCAATGTCCAGAAAAGCCCTTTATGACGGAAGAGAGGCAACCTCCATTGCTGCTCTTTCTATACGTACAATCCCAGCTACTCAAAGTGGGAGGTAATCTGAAACGTCTTTTTAGCTCAAATTATAAGACTGGAAGTAATCAAACATTTATCCTAAAATTCATCCCTCATTAAAAATTGTGGATTGTTTTGTTTTGTTTTGTCCCACATCCTTTGAGACTAGATTTGCAGTATTTTGGAAAGGTATTCATTATATCTTGATTCGCCAAAACATTTTTCATCATAACATCTAACTCTGGGTTGTGACGTGGTGCACTTGATCCCCATCAGACATTGACGAGTGCTCACAAATGAACATGTGCGATAAGAACGCCTCTTGCAGTAATACCCAGGGCTCCTACAGTTGCGCCTGTAATCCTAAATACATTGGGGATGGTCTGAATTGTAAAGGTTAGTCTCTTTTAATCCATGCCTTATATATTTTTTAGAGATGGTACTGGCTGAACTCGCTGCAAATAATGTTGAGTGAATGGCTATTCTTGTTTGGCCATGTAACAAATCACGTTAGTTTTTAGTACCTTTAGTTTGCTTGGAAACGTCCTTCGACAAAACATTGGGGATAAAGAAAGATAGATTTGATTTTTTAAATCATATTTTTGGACTTGATGTGCATTGTTGTTGTCCACCAGGAGAGAAAATAATTTTTTCTTGATGATGCATAACTGTTCTGCAAATGTAATTATATTGATGATGTCTCAATTAAACAGAATAGTCTGATTGGTTAAAATCGATGTTGACCGCAGTTACGATTTTCTCACTCTGACCTAATAAGGTAATTCCCCAGAAAAAAAAAAAAGTCATCTAACAATTTTTTTAGTCTGCCTTTAAATGTTTCCTACCAATGGCTGTTTCGAAAAATGCAATAAGAAAGCAGGTGACCTTGCTTGTTTGAGAGAAATGACGGGCAACACTTACCTCATTTATGCCTCTACTATCAATTTTTCCCGCTCGTCATTTCAAGGTACATTTTTCGGTAGCTGGAATCAAGGGATTTCGAAGTAAAAATTAAAAGAAAAGAAAAAGAAAAAACTTAAAAGGTACAAAGTCTCGAGCGTGTGGAAAATTTGATATGTAATTTGTGGAAATTATTTATATATATTCGTAATTATTATCACTCAAAACGTTCCTCACGTCGTTGTTTTCAAGCTTTCTTATAACGAAATATATTAAACATCGCATTAACCGAAATTCAACTTTTTAGCCGATCCGTGCTATAATTACAGAAACCTGAGTGATGCTGACAGAAAGAGCACTTACAACACACCCTACGGTGGAGAAAAATGTGACGACGGTTCCTCATCCTTAATATTCGGGGAATGGTATCGTTTCGTGGGAGATGCAGGAACAAAAATGCCAACCCAGTGCGTACCGGATTATAGATGTGGTACGGCCTTCTCAGGCTGGCTAAAAGGTGGTCACCCCACACTGGCAGATGGTGAGGTTTCTTCAGAGGTCTGCTTTACCAGAGGTGGAGATTGTTGCAAGAAATCACAGGACATAAAAGTGAAAGACTGCGAATCCTACTTTATATACAAACTACAAAAGGTACCTTTTTGTCCTCTGCGCTACTGTGGCACGGACTAAATGCTATAAGCAAGTCATTTTGTTTAACGAAAGGATTCACAAATCGATTTAATTATGGGCTCATGCACATTGATGTTTAACAGGGACTAATGGGTTATGTGGTTACGATCTATTTCTACCACAACAGTTGTGTTGTAAGCTTCGAATTCTGGAATGTTTTGAAATACGTTATGACGGTATATAAGGACTCGGTCAGCTAGGAGTACTAATTTCTTTAGTCAGAAAAGACCGAATATCTAGGAAGCTCTACAAAAGATCTTAAAAAGGCTTAAGTAAGTTTTTAAAGGACAATTATTGTATTGCCTATAAGAGTAGCTCCTGAAAAAGAATCATTATACGTTGTTTAATAAAGTAGTTTAAATTGTAGGAGTTTAGTATTCCTTATTTTGATTTAATCATACCATAGCAGGTGAATCTTATAGGAAAGCGTGTTGGGTGAAATGGGTAAAATCTGAGTGATGTCTACGCTAGTAGTTCTTTCAAAGCCATTCCAACAAAAAGAGCTCCGAAATGAAGACCAGTTAAAATCTAATTTAATAACCTTTTCAGGTTATTTGTGTGTATGTGACCGGTAACAGAGATGGTGTGATCTGTTACTCTGGTTGCTTTATTTAACACTGACAGAGAGCCTTAGACAAATAGCACGTCTAAGTACTCTGAGATTTACGTGTCTTTGTTGCACTTTAGAAAATCTGCATTGACTTTCCCAAGGGCCAAATCCTCTTATCGCTTGCTATTCAAATTATCTTCATGTAATCAGTGTAAGGTTACATGAGACAATGAATTATCACTTACCACATGTCAGTAAACAAAACAGATTGCACTGTATCTTTTTGGTGTTGTTAAAGCTACTTTCGCTAGTGTTGTTGAAGCGCAAAGTTCATCATTCCATCGGCTGAATAATCAATAATCTCCGGAGGGGTTTTCGAACTTTAGGAAGTGAGAGGTTGATTTGTTGAGATATCTCTCTCCTTTAGTGAGACATCAACGGCCTTCCGACACCTTTTAAATGTATTATTATTATCTAGGTTTAATTGGGCAATAATCTCAATTTTTTTTTAATGAGCTCTCCTCTTGAGTTTATCAAGACAGACAATTATTCAATTATTTGCTGGGAAACTGACCTTTTCAAGAAATCCCACAGAATTAGCAAAAACACAAATACGTGTACATTTACTTGAGAAAATATCTTTGTTAGAGGCACTGTTTAGTAGAGTAAATGGTTGTTGCTACGGTTATTATAATCAACTCTGTGTTTGGGGGATTTAGAGGAGTGGACTTAATGTGATTAGCTGCTTTAACTGTCCGATTACAGGTGTCCAATTACAGTTGACTGTCCGATTGCACTATCCGATTACAACTCTACAGATTAATTAGTGCTAAAATAAAGCAGCTAAAGTACCATAAACATTTGAGGACGTTGTCATGGTTATGCCTCTATTTTCTTATGTAAGATATCTCAAACTGGTATTAGTCCTGCGAGCATTCGCCCTTTTGAATTTTAAAGTTCAATTTGCTGCCCTCAACACTCGCTGGAAAACAAAACCTACTCTAGTTTCCTAGAATACTTTGTAATTCCCGTCGTACTCGTGGGTTTTCCATGGACTTCATAATGATTTTGATATCCAGAACCAAATTATGCTAAGCAGAAAGTAAGGGAGTCTACAAAGTACAATTAGGTATTGTCAACTGAGTTGATAACCTAAATTAGCCACCGGAAAGAGTCTAAAGCTGACGAATCGAGCGTTAGTCCGTAGTTACTCGCTCTGACAAAGGGCGAACGCTATAAACGTCAGCTTTAAAACTCTTTACGGATTCCAATCTACGTTTTTAACTCCATTGCTAAAACTAAATTACCCAGTGTTACTCTCCCATCTACGCGGCACCAAAATTTCTTTAGAAACGTCGTCCCTCTAATAAAAGGAAGTTGGGTTTCTTCTCCATAGAACACCTTATGCATAAACCTTTTGAATTATTTGGAAAACACCCACAGGGTAACAAATAGAATGAGAAAGATGGTTAGATTTCAAGCCCACTAAAGAAATAAAGAAATAAATTTTTTTTCGTCTCGTCACGAGCGTGAGACAAAGAAAAAATTCTGAGTCCCCGTGAGAATCCGACCTCAAATCTTCGGACTCCGCGCTCCGACGCTCTACAACTGAGCCAAGGAGACTCTGTGGTGGGCAAGGCCCACTCCGAAGTTCATGCATGACACGCGTCCTGCAAACTGCTAGGATCAGCAATGTCGTTAACGTCATGTTTTGTTAATAGAAAAAGAAAGATGGTAAGATTTTGGGCTCGGTAAAGGAATAAAGAAATGTTTTTTCATCTTGTCTCGGGCGTGGGACGAAGAAAAATTCTGAGTCCTCATGGGGAATCGAGCCTCAGACCTTCGGATTCCGTGTTCCGGTGCTCTACTACTAAGCCACAGAGACTCTGTATGACTATAGACTTCTATACTCTATTAAAGTTCATATATGACACCCGTCCTGCATACTGCTACTATCAGGGTAACAAAGGTCAACAAATAGCGTAACAAAAGGGTAATTGCTTTCATCAAGAGAAAGTAATGGTCCCATTATTTCTTTTGCTTTTATTTTTAAATTCAAGTTTTACAGGAAAAGAAGTGGCCAATATTCGTGGGTCATGTGTAACGAGTAAATTGTCGTGACAAAATTTCGCGGGTAAGTTGTCACGGGTGAATTGAAATAAAAGGGTCGTTCGGTTAGAAAAAGCCCTGAATAAAGAACATTGTCGTAATAAAATCTGTTGGTAATCTTACCACTTGAAATTGAAAAAAAGAGATGGGGGAGAGAGAAGTCAGCTGAGAAGAGCTGAGAAGAAGGCAAATGGCAAACAACATTGAGGGCCTCTGGCCACGACGAGGATGGACTGAATTATGGTAAACAGTAATATAGATAGCAACACAAAATTAAAGTCAACGTATTTTTTTCTTTTAGACTAAGAGAATAATAATTCGACAAAAACCTTTTTGGTGAACTGATGGACGAAAGGTCTTAAATCCATGCTGTCCTCAACGAACATAATGGGTGGGTGAGTGCACGATTTTTCATCCACTTTCCTTTATTCAAAATCCTTTACTATCCAGATTAATAACTCAAACATTTAAAAAATAAATGAATGACATTATAGCACAACGTCTATCACATATCAATTTCAGATAGTGCACTGTTGTCGTTCACCGCTTCGCATATGTTGTAATCAAATCGTTTTTCTTTGTTTTCAGGTGTGGTAGTAGATTACAGAACAGTTTTGATGGCCCGTCTACAATATTATGGACCATAACGCCACATGGATTTAAAAACTGCCTTTTTCTGGTTGAATTTTGCTTTGAAAGTTTTTTAAAGGGCTTTGAGCACATTTTCCACGAAAAAATGTAAGTGATCGCATTTATTAATGAAACCACGTGGGAATCCTATGAAGCACTTTTCATAGCTCACGAATTAAATTGGGTTAAAGGAGCGTTTTTTAAAGGTACAGCTCATTCGGCCAAGTGTATACAGGTCTTACGATCAAAAAACTTGAATCACAGATGAAAATTTAAGTACAACAGATATAGGCGTTATATTCCATTGTCACGCGCTCTGAGTAAGGAAACTAGACAGATTTCCTGATTTCCCAATTCATGTACCTTTTGGTTACGTCGTCGTCGAATCTTCGGGGCTAAAAGTACACCGGTACTTTCTTTTTCCTTGTAGTCGACGATCGGTAAGGCACTTTAAATGCTTAGAAAAATTAAACTGCAAACGAGAAAATCCTTGATAAAGTCATTTTTTCTTCTAAAGAAGGAATATAAAAGCAAAGGAGAACAGGCTATGTGGCCTTCTTAAATATGTTTACACCAAGGGAGGATGCGTCTGTTATTGACTCATCGTGCAAAAGTCGGTCATTAGTTTCCAAGGAATAAAAACATTTTTCATCAGTTTAAGGACACTTACTGGCAGGAGATTGTCGGCCGCTAAAGAGCTTTTCAATTAAAGCTAACTATCAACTCTTTCAAACGATTTAGGAGCAAGGCTTAATGAAAATAACATCACGTGCGTCTTTTTAACTCCAAAAACTTACAAATTACAGAATAATTGAAACAGGTTCATGACTTTTCTGTTAATTTCATGTTTATTATTGCCAAAGTTGATAACAAAATAATTACACGTCAAACATTCGAACGCGAAAAGTTTTGCGAGGTGTTTATCTTTTGGTAGGAATGAATGAAAAATGCGCTTGATGCATTTTTGATCTTTTAAATTTCAAAAGTACTTGGATCAAAAAGTCCAATGGAACTTGAACGTTTAAGCGTCTGTTATCCTAAGAATATGGAATGATATTCCTAAGAGACCTTATTCCTTTTTATTGAGCAAATCGGAAAACAATTATTTGGGTCATTTGCGTTAATGTCCACATAGAACTGACAGCTGCTGAAAGCTTTGTTTCATGCACTTTCATAATATGCTTTCCTCCATAAAAATAGGTCGGTTTGGGCTGCTTAGTCCACTGCTGGGGCATGGGCGCTGGTGATCGACTTAAAACTTGTGGCATACGTGGGGGTAGAAATAGAAGACCGTAATCTTGAGTTGACTTGCTTAACGCTTGGCAAAGGTGATTGGAAAACTGCCAAGCATTTTCCATCTTTCGATTCATTTATGAGTGCAATCTTATTTCATATATCACTTTCATTCTCTTCGCTGATACATATACAGAAGGAATAGAAGAAGAAGCCACGTTCAACATCCACCCATGATTGGAACTCATTTTGTAAAATAAGAGGGTATTTAACGAAGATTTTTAAGCGTATCTTACTCAGAAAGCTAGATATGAGATGCAAAACACAAACAACTTCGACAACTACGAACTACGTCAATTAAAAAATCCTACATTCCCAACTCTGTTCTCTCAATAACATGCACGTATTACACTGTTAAGTTAAGTTCCATTGTCGTTTA